CCCCAGCCATGTGTATCTACAGCTGCCTGTTCATGCGCTTCGCTTGGATGGTGCAGCCCCGCAACTACCTCCTACTGGCCTGCCACGCCAGCAACGAGGTGGTGCAGCAGACGCAGATGTACCGGTGGTATCGCTACCATAACTCGCCAGAGGGGAAAGCTGCTGCGGCCGCGGCGAAGAGCGCGTGACGGCGCGCCCGCGAGAGAGCTCAGCGGGCCGCCCTGTGGACGCGGCGCACCGGCGCAGCTGCGCGGCTGGGGTCGCGGCGGCACAGGGCTTGTATTGTGGCAGTTTCCCAGTTGCTTTTCCGGTTGGGCTTCAGGGGCTCTTTGGATGTGATCGCGTCTGCTGAGGCGCATCCGCCGCAGTAACCACGTCTCCAGAACATGCAGGCCCGTTAATCGTGCCTGGCGGTGGCGGTGTGCACGTGGCGCGCCGGGCCCGCGCGGCGCTCTCGGGGGGCGGCTGGCTATAAGTGAATGATCGCGTGTGGTATCCGAAGCAAGGTGGGGAGCGGATGGACGGCGTCCGGAGAGAAAAGTACAGTGGCTGGCAAGCGCATGCAGCCTCCGGAGGAGCAACTGGGCCGCCCTGATTGCTCGTTGGCAGCCAAGGCGCTGCGAGTGCACCGACGGCAGGGCGCGCCGCGACGCGGCTGGCTGGCAGCCCTTTGCCCCACGGCGAGGCGGCAGCCTTGGGCCCGCCGGCGGTTGCTTTGCCTTGGAAAGGCTGTGCGGCAGGGGCGACACACGCAGAGCATGGCTCGACAGGCTTCTGGAATGCTTGGCGCCCAAAAAAACCCGCGGACGCCCCTCTGCGGTATGCCGCGCACAAGCAAACGCCGCTCGCGTTTGGGAGGGCCCGCTCGCAGCAGTGCTGTGCGGCTGGCGCGGCGCCTTTGACTCGGCCGTGGTGACAGCGCCGCTGGGTTGCTTGCAAGCGGGCGACAGAGCGAAGCATCCCGCGGGGACCATCTTGATTGAGGAGGGCACACACACGGCCGCAGCGAGGTCCTCAGGGAGCGGCCTGCTTGCGTCCTCGTCGAGACCTGCAAAGAATGCAGCACGCATTCTTGTCCGGTCACAAGAGGCGTTGCTCTGAAGGCGGGCGCGCCGTGCGTGATGCGGCGCGCAGGCTGACCGTCGGCCGCGTGGCCCCTGTGGCCGGGAATCCCCGCTAGATCGCTAGCTCAGCATCAAATGGACCTTCTTCTGCGCTCTCCGCCGGCCTGCGAACGCGCGGTGGCCGCCAAAAGTGGAGGGGCTCCCTTGGTGCGTCCTCTGACTCGCCGGCAACGTCACCGGACACCGGCGGAGGGCGCCGGCCAGGCGTGCCACCAGCACTGCGGGCGTCACGCGCGTTCTTTGTTCCGTAGGCTCGCTGTTGGCCGTAGGCCGTGATGCTGCGCGCCTGGGGCCCGACGGTAGCTCACTAGATCGCCCCTCTGTCGCGGTCAGACCCCTAGCAGACGTCGCGACGTGCAACAGAGACCATGGGGACGTCGCCCAGCGAAAGCCACAAGGAGGGCAGGACGGGTAGGCTTTCCCGGAGGGCTACGAGTGCCTGGGTCAGCCCGCGGCCCGGCGCGTTTTTTGGGTGGTCGCTGTGCAAAGCTTTCTTTTGAGCGAGCCTGTTCAGAGGCTCTTGAGGTCCCAGCGCGCGCCTCCCGAGATCTTGGCACTGGCCGCTCCTCCTCGCAGACGGGGCCGAGAGTGACGGTCCCGACGCGTCCGACACCTCCAAGCTCGCCGATCAGGGCTCGGCTGCCGCCAACGCCCGGGCGCCGCCCACGCTGGAGCAGCAGCTGGCTCAGCGCGAGGCGCAGGTGGCCGTGCTGGAGCGCAAGCTGCACCACCTGCGCTCCTGGATGGGCAGCATCAACGCACAAATGGCGGCCACCAACCCCCAGCTCGTGAAGAATGCGCGGCGGCTGTACGTGGGCGGCGTGCCGCCCGGCACGACCGAGGTGCGGGGCGCGGCGCGGACAAAGGCGGGGCGCCTGCGGTCGGTTGGCAACCGAACGGCCGCCCACCTTTTGATGCAGGGGGCCGGACAGGCAGGCGCAGCGGGGACCCTGGCCAGGGCAGCAACGGCGCGACAGCGACCCAGCACCCGCCGCCGCCACTGCCATACGGCCCCGCCTCCCGCGACCGGCACGCCCGGTCAACTCGGCCCCTGATCCGGTCAACTCTACCGCCGACCCATCCGCGGCGGCGACGGCGGCCGGTGCAGCCGCACCTCTAACCCACCCAATCCAATGCCGACCCCACCTCATTGTTTTCGTTGTCAAAATCATCAGGAGGAGCTCTATCAGTTCTTCACCGGCCTCATGGCGGGCGCGTCCGCGGCGGCCGGGCCGGGCCCCGCGATAGGCAGCTGCAAGATCACCCCCGACAAGGCGAGCCTCCCCGCGCCCCGCCGGCCGCCCACCCCCAA